TCAGAGCAATGAATAATTGATACACATCTGAATCAGATATTTATTCCACGCACTCAATCCAAGAACAGGGAATTATTTAATATTCAAGTCGAATGGATACATATAAAGCACTAGACCCAAAAATTGTGGTTCTGCTGCTTCTTGCTGATTATATATTTATATATGTTGGACTAAGTGTAATGCCCTTTAGTTAGAGACCACCAGTTTTCAACTGATTTTAGCTTCTAAATCTGAAAAATATGATAGCTTCTGGATCCAATATGATTTTAATCTGCATCAACGTTGCCATGGTTGTGTTGTATTGGAGGAGCCCATGAGGTGGCATTGATTTTTCGCATGCTTAGTTTAGTGGTGTATTTTTTTCTTCATGGTTGAATACGAGAAGGTGCATGTTATTTAGGACATGATCTCTCCAGTAAATTAAATATATAAACAGTGAGAGATAAGAGCATGAGAAATTTTAAGAATCTCATAGCATTAACAATACGAATCTCTGAATTTCAGGCTTTCACTCAGTTCCACCCTAGTACAGCTCAGTATGTCTGAAATAGGATAAGCCGAAAACATACTACTGTTTCCAGACCTATCTATATCAGTGGAAGAGAATAGTCCTGTAATTGGGCTTTCCGTCCGGTGGCTACCATCGAAGCATTAAAACTTAAAACTTAATGGAATGAGAGCCAATGATTCAAATCTTGCTTTCCATCAATTTGTCACAATTAAATGTTGTTTTACTTAAAAAATTCAGACGGATACATAGTGCATTCGTCTGGTCTGATAGTGGTTCAGTCCTATCCGTGTTACTCTTGGATCTTTTCAGGTTCTCCCCCTTCCCCGTAGTATAGAAAATTATTGTATCGATTAAAAAAAAAAAAGAACAAGAAAGTTTTCTTTGTGGTCAGTTTAATTGTCATACAACCGGACAGGATTTTCCAAATATAAACCCAAATTAAGAACTGAATAGGAGTTAGGTGACCAACGCGATAACTTTTAGGGAAGAGAAATACACAAAAGGATCCACAAATTAGGGTGTAGAAATTGTATATATTTTAGGGATAAAGATAGAGGAAAATGGTAAGACATAAAAATAAGCAATGAAATTGAAGTCTGAAATCTGAATTCTGAATCCATTAACTTATTGAATTGTTAAGTATTAAATCTAATACATTTGAGTACATATCACATTCAATGATAAGTAAATAGTTTAGCACTTAATTTTGGGAGCAAGTTTTACCTAGGAAATTCAGTGCCACTTAATTAATTTAGATGTTCAATTTTTTGTTATCAACCGATTTGAATATACTAAAATCTGAATCCATTAAATTTAAATGTTAAATTAGATTATTAAACAGGGTCTAAGAGTAATTTGCAACTCTCTGGATTATAGCATCTACCATCGCTCTCTCTCTCTCTCTCTATATATATATATATATACACACACACACTTTTTTGGAAATAAAACATCTCAGACGTGAAAATCATAAAACTTTGGTACACATATATATCAATCAACCGCCCTTCCAAGGCAGCCGAACTGGTCTCACTAAGAGTTAGTACACCCGAGACCCAGTGATCGAGCCTTGTCACAAAAACAGGGAATAACCCAACAACTCGAATAAGGGTTGGGATTTGAAGTGGGATCAGGTCTTTTTTTTTGACAAAAAATATATGTATATATATATACACATCAATCAATCAATCAATCAAGGAAATGGCCTAAATTAGCTATTGGACTCCTGACCAATTTGATCAATAATGAACATAGACGAAATTCTTGCACCATTTTTTTATAACAGACTACAAATATACACACATACCTCTCATCATCAGACGTAAGTACAAAGATGCATACGAGGTCTTTATCACATTAACATACATGTTCATATATGCATGTATGTCCCTTATTATCATAGGCAACGCCAATAATATACCATGAGAAATTCACACTCGAGTCTTGAAAAGATGTCTTGGTTTGGACTCTGGAGTCTTTAAATACTTGTCTCAAATAGTCAATCGGCAGCTGACAAGACTACAGTCTTGCTGTATCAGGATGCTCATCCCGAAACTAACTGTGCCTTTGAAGAGTTAGCCACCGAGTGAAATACTACATATGGTGCAGGTCACAGGTTTAAATTTTATAATTACAATAAAATTTAAATCATGTGCAGCAATACAGTCTTTTGGTCTAAAGGCAGTAACCTATCTCTTTTAACCCGGATAAGGGGCAGGGACGGTCATGTCCCTGCACAGTTCATGGTCAGGATTTGGTCATAAAAAATTGTATAATCTAAATCACGTATTGTATCTCGATTTTCACAATATATGTGGAGTTCACAAAATTTTATTTTGAAATTACACGTTATGTAAACAAAATTACACCGTATGTAAACAAAGTTACATGGCGTGCAAAATGCACAAAACCACCAATAACGGTTGCACCTGTCCGTGGTCCCTTTTCCTTTGCTTGTGGGCACTAAGAGGGATCCATTTCTCCAAGCGGGTAGAGTCCTGAAAACTAAGGCCTTGCTTGGATTGCAACTTTCCGTCGGAAAATTACGTTGTTTTCCGTGATCACATTTCCCTATCACCTTTTTCCCTCACATACATCAAATCGCTACAGTAATTTTTCCATGAAAAATGACGGAAAATGCAATCCAAACACAACCTAAATCTTTTGCACGTTTTTACTTCACATTTCAATTAAAACTCAATACCTGCAGAAAATTTTAGAGGTAAATAGCCCTATTATACATGTAGGAGAGGTGGATGAGTTGGGTTTAATTAATTGCTGGTTCTTGAAGTTCTATGTCACAGAGAACGAAAAACATGGCCATGTTTGGCAAGTAAGTTTTTGGCCAAATTTGTCTGCTATAAGTTTTTTAACAACTTTAACTACAATAATCTCAAAAAAAATTTCAAAGTTTTTAAACTATACATTTCAAAATATTCAAAAAATTTTCATACAATTTTTACAGTAAAGTTTTAGACAAATACCCAAAAAACTCACTTATCCATAGCACCGTCTTGAACAGACGCAAGATGCTTATCATTTGTTTGTTTTAACTCACAGATAGAATCCAACATTTGAACTCAACCAGATTCCATGACAACTATTTTTCCCTTGTAATTATGCGTGCCAATAAATATTTAAATTCTCATTAACATATCATTGTTCAGAATTCTTGCTCTATCATAACACCATCTTTTGCAATTGGCAACCTTACAAGTCTATCCCATCAGATGACAAACTTGTCAACAACTACTTACTACTAGTAGTTGACTTCTTGAAGCTGATCTCTCCTGAATCCAAAGGAAATGAAGGAAAGTTTAATATCAACATTATGGAACAGTTGAAAAGTGCAACTTAAATGTGTGTTGTTGACTGATAATGCCATAAGGTGACATCTTGAAAGTTGAAATCAAAATAATTAACCGCTCCATCTTCTTTCAGTTGACAAGCAAGTTGAATTAAATGTCAAAGCTGATCCACAGAAGCAACCATTCATGAATAATCAAGTAGCAGGGATAATCAAATTCTTGAGAAAATTGTTGACTCTGAGTTTAGTTCATTTCAAAGTATCTATATGGGAAAAAGACTTTCCTGCCTAGAACTTCTTCAAATATCTCCATGATCGTTTAACAGCGCAGCGGAAGATGTGACGACTGTTTCCCAAACCAATTAACCATCATAGAACAAGAGAACGGCCGTGGACATAGACGAACAGTAGGAGGCAAACTTCTTGGAGAGTAAATCCACACGGCTGATCAGAGGAAAGCACGGGATCAAGCCCTTGAGTAGACCAAGAAAACGAAATTCTAAACAGGTTCCATATATCCAGGAAGCCAACTCTATTTTCTAACTTATTACCAAATGAAAAATATGATCCTATAGTTACTAAAGTTCAAAAAAGGCTTAATTTAAGAAAAATAACTAAAATTAAAAACAACTACCTGCATGCAGCATTTCATTTCCAATCGCAATCTTTGTCAATGAAATTAGAATGAAGATGCGAATGAGCAAGCTCCTTCGTGAGTTCGGATTGCTCTTCTTTATCCTATTTTTAGCTATACATATATAGTATTTACAGCCTGTAATTCCTTTCGGTTATCTATTTAAATCGTTCTTGCTTCTTGTTAAAGTTGAAAGCAAAATGAATAATAACCAGTAATTGTATACGTTAAAATAGATTTACAATAGCTTGTTTATCTTGAGGACAAATTTCACGAGATCAAGAGGTGAATTAGTTTAGAGTGTATATGTAGGATTATAAAATTTAACCAGCAGCGACCACCAAACTGACTGTATCAATCAAATTAGAATCAACCATCCAAATCATATCTCCTTTGGCATTTTCTCTTAAATTTCTTATTATAATGTTGGAAGTGGTGGCACATGCACAATACAATGCAAACTGAAATGTCACCGAGGATTAAAGTTGGGGAAAGCCTTTCTTTGAAGAGTTAACTATGGGGCTAAATTGAGACATTTCCAGTTTGGGGCTAATTGAAATTTTTGGCTATCTTGGAAAGCCATAGACGAAATGATTTTTATCTGAGGGTTTTGTACAGAAAAAAAAAATAACAAACAAAAAATTAAGAAGGGAACAAAATAAAAAAAAAAGGAAGAAAAGGAAGAAGAAGAAAAGAGAAACTCAAGTATCTAGAAGCAAGCCGCCCAGTGGTCACTCCCAAGCCTTCTTAGGTTTGGTGGATCGGGAGGTCAAGAGTTCGAATCCTACCTTCCATCAAAAAATTTGTCACAATATGTGACGATTTTCATTGGTCATTTTCGATGGAATTTTTACTCACATCGCATTCTGCCCAACTCACATTGATCACTTTGCTCAAGCTTATTGAGTCAAACGATTAGTAGTTTCATTAGTAATTTCTATAGTTTCTCTGGTCGAAGTTACTTAGGTCATTAGGTCTCTGGTTTAAGTGAATCCAATTCACTTCAGGTCTTCTAGTTTTGTATGGCTATACATATCCCAAGTAAGAGACCTTCAAAGGGAGTTGCGAGGGTGAGTTGTGAGGAAAAGTATCTAGAAGCAAAACGACATCCTCATCATCAAAACAGCGTCGTATCCCCTGTTTCCACTTCTGCATCAAACCGAAGAGCAAAGCTACTAGAAGAAATTCCCAGAAGTAATACAAGAAAAAGAAGCGAAGTCCTACTGAAATCCTGAAGTGGGAGATAACACTCAGCCATGGAGTTGGCATCAACATCTGCATCTCTGGGAACTTATATCGTCTTCCCGAAGCCACAACTCTCTTTCACTTCAAGAACCCTCTACCCATCTTTATTTTCCGTCAGAAATTCATTCTCAAAGTCACTATATTTGGCTTCAAAATCCCAGGGTAATTAAAAAACGGAACTTTAACTTTAGTTTTCCTTTTCTTTTATGTCTTTAACTCTCTTTTGATTCTCCCACAAATTATCCAAAATAATTAAAAAAGAATGACATAGTTTAGTGCTAGTTATTGCAAGTTTAGCTTTTTCCGCCCTTTTCTCCCCATTGTAGATAGTATTTTGTTTTGGTCAAGCTAAAAATATCTTCTATTTCTCTTAATAAGCATATGTTACTGCTTAAAGCTTGAATAGTCGGGACTTCTGTTCTATTTTTTTTTGGTATAAATGTGGTTTGATTTTTTGAGAGCTGGGTTTTGGTTGGAATGTGAAATGCTACATTTTTGTTAGCGCTCTGCAAATTTTTAATAGATTATGTGGTGATAATTGGCCCTCATGGTCAACTGTTAGTTATCCCGACTAGGATATGGGTTTGATGACTGGCTTTGTAACTATACATTGACATGTTCAGTAAAACCATTTTCTTGTTATCACAAGGACTAATCTCGAATTTGATATTTTTGTCATGATTTTTTATTGATGAACTTTACTAGTGGAGCTTTTATGTGCTTATTCAGATTTTCAAGTTACTTTATTCTATACCATGAGCTGTGATGGTTTTTTATTTCCTTAACTCATTTAGAAAACAATCAAGTTTGAGCTTTGAAATGATTACTTAAAGGTAACCCGAGTTGCTCCCCCCCCCCCCCCCCCCCCCACAAACAACAAAAAAAAACCACCACAAAAAACGAAAATGATTACTTTACTCACGAAATATTGTTCAAAATTTAAAGAAAAAGTCAAATTTCTGTCTTTATGTTTATATAGCAAGAAATTTCAAATCTTCGTCCTGGTGGCAGACTTCAATATTTTGCTCTGGTCAAATAGTTGCATGTTGATTAGAAAGTTCATTTTTATGGCTGTCTTTGATGAGAGACCATTGAATCCATGTTTTTCAATATGAATCCTCCCCCTTTGGCTAATAGTTTCTTACTTGCCACTTGGTACAGTCAGACTACACGAGTTTTTTCATGCAGCCGCTGTTGGCAATACATCTAGAGTACCATATGATTCTGTGGAAGAGCATATGACAACTGCTAAACACTCTGGCCTTAAAGCTAGTAATGGGATTACCACAAGCAAAGAAGAAGAGACTGACAAGAAGGATGCTGCAAAAAGTTTGGATGATCAAAAAATGACCAGAGTTTGTGACAAGCTGATTGAAGTTTTCATGGTTGACAAGCCCACTCCAACTGACTGGCGAAGGCTACTAGCTTTTAGCAGAGAATGGGACAGTATCCGACCTCATTTCTATCAGCGATGTCAGGATAGAGCTGACACTGAAAATGATCCTGGCATGAAGCACAAGCTACTCAGACTTGCGAGAAAGCTCAAAGAGGTAGTGCTTTTCCTTTTACATGAAGTTGGTATAGAAGGCTCATAATGCTTGTTTCATTCGATTTCTGTGTATCAAAATGGATTGTCTCCAGTAGGAAGATATTCCGATCAGTGGCTTCTGGAACAATGTAGATACTCTTATAGTCTTATTTGCTGCTCGAATTCTATGAAACTACTCTGAAGGTTCTGTTTAAGTTCAAAATTTTTCAGAGGATATTGTTTAAGCTCTTTCATGAGCCTGGTTTTAGTTTCTGCTCAGATTGACCTTTCTGCATGAGTGAATTTCGCTCATATCTTCTCTTTGGTTGGAACACTTCTGTAAGTACTGAGAGGATTTAGTGGATAGGTGATTTTTATGGTCTTAGATATCATGGACCTGTTTTTATTGTTAATGGTTTTCTATCTTATGCTATATAAAGCTTTTGGAGCATATGATGTTTTCGCTAGTATGGAAATTGACTGGGGAATTCTGCTGCCTAGGTTGATGAAGATGTTCAAAGGCATGAGGAACTACTCAAAGTGATCAGAAAATCACCATCTGAGATCAGTGAAATAGTTGCAAAGCGTCGTAAAGATTTTACACAGGAATTCTTCGTTCATCTTCATGCTGTGGCGGAATCTTATTATGACAATCCGACTGAACAAAATGGTTAGATTGATGCCCCTTTATTTCCATCTTGAACCTTCACTTCCACTTTATTCTGTCATATGGCATTAGTTATAATCATTTTCAAAGGAACATTGTAATGTTGGTGCTCATTTTGAATAAAAACACGTTGGCTTCCTCTTCTAAGCATATATTTAATCAGAATATTAAGTGAAATTGAGTGAATTCTTGCGAAACTGTCAAATTAGAAATTAATCCTTGTTGAGATTAGTATTGCTGCATTGATCTTGGTCATGGAGTGCTAATAAGTGTTGTTCTTGCTTATGATTGTTGAAGAAACCAGGCTTGTGGCTAAAGCTGAAACTTTCAATATTTGTGAAAACTAAGAAAAATGGAGAGAAAATACTTTTCTTCATCTTATTAGGACTACACAATATACATATATATATACACAAGTGTAACCTAATTTAGATCCTAAAATCATGTTAATCTAAATCAATCTACTACCTAATTAATACATGATACTATAATCATATGATACCTAATTAATACATGATACTATAATCATATATTTCTTAATATTAGATCACATATCTTCAACACTCCCCCTCAAGCTGGAGCATAGATGTTGCTCATGCCCAGCTTGTTACAAAGGTAATCTACTCGAACTCCATGTAGAGCCTTCGTAAAGAGATCTCCCAATTATTCTCCAGTCCTTACAAATCCTGTAGAAATCAAGCCCTGCTGTATTTTCTCACGAACAAAATAACAATCTATTTCGATGTGTTTTGTTCGCTCATGAAATACGGGATTGGATGCAATATGAAGAGCCGCTTGATTATCACACCACAATTTTGCAGGCATTGAGGTTTTGAGACCTACTTCAGTTAGAAGTTGATTTATCCACATGATTTCACATGTCGACTGTGCCATAGCTCTATATTCTGACTCTGTATTTGATCGCGAGACAACATTCTGCTTCTTACTCTTCCATGAGATCAGGTTTCCTCCAACAAAGACACAAAATCCAGTTGTGGATCTTCGATCTGCCTTGGATCCTGCCCAATCAGCATATGAAAAACACTCAATCCTAGTATGACCATGATTTTTATACAGAATACCACGTCCAGGAGCTCCTTTTAAATAACACAAAATTTGTTCTACAGCTGCCCAATGAGTAACAGTAGGATTAGACATATATTGACTAACAACACTAACTGAATACGCGATATCTGGACGAGTCACTGTAAGATAATTCAACTTTCCAACCAATCTTCTATACCTCCAGGATTTTCTAACAATTCACCTTCTTTTGTGAGCTGCAAGTTAGGGATCATTGGGGTACTAGCTGGTTTAGCCCCTAATTTTCCTGTTTCAGATAGTAAGTCAAGAACATATTTTCTTTGGGACAGGAATATCCCCTTCCTACTCTTTGCTACCTCAATACCCAAAAAATACTTTAATAGTCCCAAATCCTTTGTCTGAAATTGACTATGGAGAAAAGTTTTAAGAGATGAAATACCTGCAGCATCATTCCCAGTGATAACAATATCATCCACATATACTACCAACAAAATAATACCATCTTCAGACTGTTTGTAGAAAACAGAGTGATCAGATTTGCTTTTCTGCATCCCAAACCTTTCAACTGCTAGACTAAATTTTTCAAACCAAGCACGAGGACTTTGTTTCAGTCCATACAAGGACTTCCGAAGATGACAAACCTTCCCAGACTCCCCCTGAGCAACAAACCCTGGTGGTTGCTCCATATAAACTTCCTCTTGGAGGTCTCCATGAAGAAAGGCATTCTTGATATCTAGTTGATGCAAAGGCCAATTATGAGTGGCTGCCATAGAAATGAATAACCTGACAGATGTTAACTTGGCAACAGGGGAAAAAGTGTCAGAATAATCCTCTCCATAGATTTGAGCATAGCCTTTGGCAACAAGGCGAGCTTTTAACTGAGCAACCGACCCATCAGGATTGAATTTAACTGCAAAAACCCACTAACTCCCAATGGCCTTCTTCCCTGCAGGTAAATTTACTAAGTTCCAAGTATCATTACCATCTAGAGCATTCATCTCCTTTATCATAGCATTGCGCCATCCGGGATGGGATAGGGCTTCATGAACAGTTTTAGGAAGGGAGATAGAATCAATAGATGTAATAAAGGAACAATCTAGCATCTTCCCTTAGCCATGTCTATCTTGAACCATCTTTTGGAGGATCATCAGTCAGATGATTGTCTTTATCAATGCTTCGCAGATAAAGACGAACCGTTTTGCTCCAATCAAGATAGTTAGAATTGTTGAGTTTGTGGTCTGTGATTTTAGACATCACAGGAACCACATCAGACATAACGACAGATTTCGTTTCTGCTATGGGTTCAGAATTAATAGAATAAAAACAAAAAAAAGAACAGATCTGAACTCTTTAAAACAAGAGTGAAGAATAGAACAGAGATGTGTCCTATACAGAACCAGATGAACCGAATGATGATTACTGAATTTTCTGGCAGCGGACAGAGACTCTAACCTTGATGGTAGGGCTCTGATATCATGAAAACTAAGAAAAATTGAGAGAAAATACTTTTTTTCATCTTATTAGGACTACACAATATACATATATATATACACAAGTGTAACCTAATTTAGATCCTAAAATCATGCTAATCTAAATCAATCTACTACCTAATTAATACATAATACTATAATCATATGATACCTAATTAATACATGATACTATAATCATATCTTTCCTAATATTAGATCACATATCTTCAACAATTTGCATTGACAACGTGGTAACAAATGCCACATACATGATACTATAATCATATCTTTTCTAATATTAGATCACATATCTTCAACAATTTGCATTGACAACGTGGTAACAAATGCCACTCTTGCCTAAAGTCGTTTTCACTTTTTTCCAACTTAGGTTAAGAGTAACTTTGCAGTCTGAAATCCAAAGTACTGGTGCTGCATTTGCAGCAGTCATGTTCTATTACCTAGATCTTTGCACCAAAGTTGCTGTTGGTTGTTCAAACTCATTGATATTTTGCCCCACATTTAAATCTTGTGATGGTGTCAGAGACCATCGGACAAGTTGTTTTATTTAGATAGTATAGTTGTCTCAATAACATGTCCGTTTTGGTGTATGTTTAGCTGTGGCTAAGCTTGGGAATATGTGCTTGGCTGCTGTGCAAACTTATGATACTGCTACAGAAAGTATAGAGGCTCTAAATGCTGCAGAGCTGAAATTTCAAGATATAATCAATTCTCCCTCAGTAGATGCTGCTTGCAGGAAGATTGATAGTTTGGCTGAGAAAAATCAACTTGATTCTGCTTTGGTTCTGATGATCACAAAAGCTTGGTCCGCTGCAAAAGAATCAACCATGACAAAAGATGAGGTTGGAATCTATTGATTGTCTTAGGTGTCTGTCTCTTTTTATTTATCCATTTCCTGTTGATTGGAGAGGAAAAAAAGTGCTTTTAAATTGCTCAGAGCTTGGTTATGACGTTGTTTTGACTTTTTGGTGCATCTGAATTTTCAAGAATATAAGTTTATTTTTCTCCTTAGTTTCTATCTTCTACCAGGTTGCTTGCTGTAGGCCAGATCTGTTAGTTGATGATTTCAAGTTCTCAATTTTCTTCAGGTGAAAGATGTACTGTATCATTTGTATATGACAGCACGGGGCAATCTTCAGAGGCTTGTGCCGAAAGAAATCAGGATACTGAAGTATCTTCTTACAATTGAAGATCCTGAGGAGCGCATGAGTGCTTTAAAAGATGCTTTTACTCCGGGAGAAGAACTTGAAGGAAAGGATGTTGACTGCCTTTATACGTGAGTCTAATAAGCTTAACCCTTGAAGTGGTCATATAAGGTGCAAGCATGCGTTAACTACTAAAGCCAATGGGCATGGCAGATTTACTGCCCTTTCATTACTTTTTAAAATTTTAAAATATGCACATATGTTCTGGTATTCGTTTGGCTGGTGTTGCATGCATGACTAGATTATTAGGGTGTACAGTTCCTTAGCTGGTTTTCTTTTTCCTTCTCATTTTGTCATTCCGTAACTTATGCAAATTTCTATTACTTGTCTTACAGGACACCAGAGCAGCTCCACACCTGGATTAGGACTGTGGTAGATGCATATCATTTCAGCAGAGAAGGCACGCTTATAAGGGAAGCTAGAGACCTGATGAGCCCAAAAATAATCCAAAAGCTAGAAGAGTTGAAGAAGCTAGTCCAGGACAAATTCTTGTAAGAATCACTCGCTTATAAAGAGTTGTCTCTATGGTTTGAATGGGGATCAATATGTCTAATAGGAGCTTTGAGATCTATGAGAATGAGAGCCAAGATGTCAATCCTTTGTTATGTTACCGACCTGCTTAGTCAACTATCAGTGGTCCGTCCACAACTTAAGAAATGTGGCCGCGATGGTCAATGATACCACTTCTCCATGAAGTTGGGCATAGCTTCATGTTTTTGACTGCAGCTTATGAACCTCATTTGCATGATACAGTCAGGATGGCATTTTGCTTCAGCTATTTCGGGTTTCAAAGCAAGAAGCAGGATTATGTCTGAAAGGTGGTACTTCGTATGCTCTTTCTGCAGTTGTATACAAATTATATGTAGAATAGCTCCAATTTTTCCATGTTTGAACGTTGTTTATAGAGTCAATAGATCGCATAGGCATCATTTGCTCCAAAATATACAGTTGACGGCTCCTTCCCTTTGGCTGTCCTACGTTTTTTTCTGCCATCTTTAATAGCAGAATAATACGGGCTTGCGTTCATATCTTCTGAGAAATTTCTTGCATGTATTTGTCCAGTCCGGAGTACGGAGCATTCTAAGAGTAGTGTTTTGCAATGGGAAAAAGGAAAAATGATTCTCTCTTGGATTCCTTAGAAACCATTATTGAATTCCATGGTCTTGGACGGTGTGCTGAGCTGAGACCCTGGCGGCTATAATTAGTGGGGAATTAAGACTAAGATTGAGCTGCCGGTTAGGGGGATAAGAGTGGAAGACCAGACCAAAAACTTCAGAATTCTATTGACAGCTTGCTTGTACGCTTGAGGAGCAAAACAATTTGGTACTTGTTACAAAAATATTGAACAAGCAAAAGAAAGGGTTGAATGCTTTTGCTCAGAGAGCAGAACCTTTGGCTGCGAATTGAGTAATGAATCGATAATATTATTCATGCTGTGTCTTTATCATCATATTATTCATGTTCGTAATGTTTTTTTTGTTTCCCCAAATTCCAGGAACGTTGTATCTCTCCACGTTTTACATGTACAATAATGTTTCCAATGTGGTCAGGTGATTGCAGTTTTCGCCTTTGCTTGTTTGTCCGGTTCTGATGCATCTGTGCAGGTTATCAACTCACACGTAACTTCACCCTCCCTGGTAGCCCACACGCATAACCACGTACAAAAGCGTGGAAAAAGTTTGCATGATTAAAAATTAGGGTTAATCACATTTTATCCCCTTAAAGAATACCCCATTTCTCAGTTTACCCCCTAACCTTTAATTTTGTTCACTTAACCCCCTTTAGGACAAAATTGCCCTTGCATTATTTTGACTTTTCATTTACCTTATTTTCCTTTCTTTTATTTCTTTTTCTCTTTCTTCTTTATTTAATTCTTCCTTTTTCCCACAAAAATCTTCACCTTAATGATTGAAATTAAAAAAGAGGAATTGTAGAGATCTATCTTTTCCTTAAATGATTAAAAAAAATTCAAATCACTTTCCTAAAATACAATTTTTTTTAGCCTTTCAATTCTTTTAATTTTGGGTTTTCCTCTTTCCTTTCTAGTTTCTCATTTTATTCCCAAGAAAATATCTTAAGATGAAATTGTGACCTGATTAATAATTATCAATTGAAATTTGTGACACGTGACATCATACAGAAAATCAAAATTAGTTTTTGATGTCTTTTAAACCTTCGCCCAAAAATATGCGATTACAAACTCAAAACAAAAATTTTTGTGGAAATCGAATTTTCTATTGGGAAGGATGATAGAGAGAAGAAAGAGAAAAAGAAATAAAAGAAAGGAAAACAATTTCATCTTATGATATTTTCTTGAGAATAAAATGAGAAACTAGAAAGGAAAGAGGAAAACCCAAAATTAAAAGAATTGAAAGGCTAAAAAAATTGTATTTTAGAAAAGTGGTTTGAATTTTTTTTGATCATTTAAGAAGAAGATAGATCTTTGTAATTCATCTTTTTTAATTTCAATCATTAAGGTGAAGATTTTTGTGGGAAAGAGGAAGAATTAAATAAAGAAGAAAGAGAAAAAAAAAATAAAAGAAAGGAAAATAAGGTAAATGAAAAGTCAAAATAATGCAAGGGCAATTTTGTCCTAAAGGGGGTTAAGTGAGCAAAATTAAAGGTTAGGGGGTAAACTGAGAAATGGGGTATTCTTTAAGGGGATAAAATGTGATTAACCCTAAAAATTATGGCAACAACCGACGATGAAAGTAACTAACGTAGAGCTGGTCCTGATTTTGATCTGACAATTGCCAACCTTTACATTGGATTAAGGGCCTTTACAATTGTTAATGCCAATTGTACCATGCAATATTAGATGTTACATAAAACCACAAATATAAATACTAGTAAAATAATTGTTGGGTATAATTTTCAACAGGTGAGAAATTTTTTTATGCTTTTGCACGTCAGTATATACATTTTTTTTTTTTACTAGTGTCTATAATATATGTATAATTATAGGTACAATTGTCACTAAGATCCTTGACATAAGGTGCAAGAATGATTTCTGGCTAGCCTAGGAACTTAAGGGCCTTTTAATGTTTTAGCAAAATGTTGTACTATAATTCAACCCTTTCAAAGTAGGGACGTAAACGAGTTTAATTAAGTCAAACACTCTAATGTTTAAATTTGTTTGATAATTTTGACGAGTTTGAAATTTTACTTAAAATTGACTTGTTTATTTACTAAATCGAGTTTGAACGATTTTTTTTTTTTATCGATTTTAAATGTTATTGAATATAAATCGCTGTTCAAGATTGATATGACCAATTCGTGAACCAAATTCGAATAAATTCTTATCAAATTGAATTTGATTTTACTATCGAGTAATTTGATTCATTTTTCGGCTCACTATGTTAGGTTTCTTCCCACTTATCGTTCCGGGGAAAAAAAAAAAAAAAGGTTAGGTTTCTCCCGTGCCAACCACTCCCGTACGCTGGCGGTGGAAGAATATAATTGGTAGCAACCATCCGGCGTGCGTTTCGCACTGCACATGCAATGCAGTCCACGATGGAGACAGACAAGACGGTCTTAGAACAATTTAACAGCTGGTCAAATGTTTGGATCTTGAATCCATTAACTCCTTCTTCATAATTAAAAGAAAAAAAAAAAGAGAGAGAGAATTTGATCAAGTGCTTAAAGTCTAAATTTGTATATGGCCACATATGCTAGAGCCTATTTGATTCTTGCCCAGTTTTGTGTACTCCCGATGATAAAATGATCAGCAGCATAAAAAGGTAAGATAAGGTTAAAATAATTTTGGTAATTCATCCTAGAAACAATTGCGAGTCACCATTTTGTACAAATGCTTTCCTACCAAACCAAAGAATATCTCATCTATACCAACTATATGTTGCTCATAATGCATTAACTGGTGCGGTGTTTGATTCAACTGCCCTTCTTGCCAATCCCAGAAAAGAGAGAAGAAACCCCAATCTTGTTGAGCAATTAGAACCCAGAATGACAGCTCCAACCACTCATGGTCATGGTAGACAACAACATAAGAGCCAATTCCTCCTCCACACTATTCTTCAGCAGCTGATGTTCAGCCTGTGATCGTTTATGCTCGGAGGCAACTTCCTCAGGCACCACCAAGCTCCGGCAAAGCGGGCAAGTAGCATGACAGCGCTGCAACCATTTCTCCAGGCAATTCTTGTGGAACACATGATTGCAATGCAGCTCTCTTGCTTCATCACCTTCTTCAATTTCGCACAAGCAGATGGAACATTCCATTGCCTCCAAAGATGGCCTCAACTTCTTTCTGAATACAAATTTGCAGCTCTGCTTGTCGATCTGTGCCATGTACTCGTGCCTAGAGCTTTGACGCCTGTAAGAACTCCATAAAATAACCGCAGATAAAATCAAGAACTTCAAAGCTTCAGGAAGAACTTTAGAGAAGCAAATTGATGTGGCTTTGTAAATTGGAGACAAGAAGAATTTAGACAGAGCACCCATTTTTTCTTGCAAGAAAGACCAAAGGGTCGTCCGCACTCCGGAATCTGTAATTGTACGTGTGAGCAAATTAGCAGGCCAGGAAAATACTATATATATATATAGAAAGGTTGGTGAGGGCCACTTTTTGTAGTTTAATGGATATCACGTACCTGGTCTTGGACAGTTGTTGATTGTCTGTTGACTCGTTTCTTCTAGATTCATAATCTATATCTGCTCCTCATCATCTAGACTCAAGTTGCTCATTATTTTCATGCAAAAAAAATTTGGAATTTTCTTTCTTATAGCTTCCCAGAAATGAAGGTATTCTACTGTTCTGTACTGTATCAGTGCAAAAGTTTGCTCCAAGTGGGTACTGACCAACTGAGATGGCCGGCTTGGAATCTAGTTCAAGTAACTCCAAAGACTGATATTCTTGTGTTTTTTTAAGCTTGCAGTCCTGAGTTCGAGAATGTCTTCCTGTCTAGATGCTTTTGTCATTCATCTGCAGCTCATCCTTGCAAAATTTCCATCTTAATTTAGGTACTACTGAAAGTTCATCAACCTTAAAAGTCAGAATTGGCCCCCGTAAGAAACATCCATTTATAATAATGTTTGATATGCATATTATGCCAAATTGAGAAGACAATTTGGTCAATTATTTTAAGTCTTTGCTTATGATACTGCAAAAAGCGGCCTTTTGACCATTTCTTAACGATGGTAATTAATGTATAAGATGGAAGACCATTTGAGAATGTATGTACATATTTGATTAATTGGTTGATAACGTTAGCAATTAGGCGTTGGACCAATTATATAGATTAGAGAAAAATTTAATCAGGATAATTACCAATAAATCCATTATCCAGAGAGAGAGAGAGAGAGAGTTAGAGACAAATAACTAAAGCTTTCATAACCAAAATGGTAAATTTCTAGAAATAATGCTGAAAAATATAATATTACATATTTACTTGGCAGATGTGAGCGAGTGACGTAATTGAATTGAATCCGTCAATAATGTTTGACCAGTTTTGCTGGTTAGATAACCCAAATGTATGCCAAAACCTCATTAATTACTCTTTTTATACTACGTATTATACATATTTTGCATGAGCTCCACTCTAAGTCTGGTCTTTGGAGGTTTTAACTACCGGAGAGAACTTGAATATTGGCAAGCCAATACTCTGTGGTGAGTGCGGACATACCGAGGGAGGGGATTAACCAAATAGCGAAGATTGACTCTGGTAGAACTTATCGATGTCTGAAAACTGAAATCTGAATTTCTTAAATTATTAAGTACTAAATCGGGTACATTTGAACGTATACCATATTAAGTGATAAGTGAATAGTTCATCACTTATTTTTGGAACAAATTTTGTCCAAAAAATTCAGTGCCACTCAATTAATTCAAATATTCAATTTTTGGTTATTAAACGAGTTTGAACATGTTAAGATCTGAATTCGTTAATTTTAACTGTTGAATTGATTTATTAAACAGGACTTTAATCTTGACAATGGGTTTTTTATTACATAGGTGGGTGTTACATCTCAATTACACAACTTAATTTAATGCCGTAACTCTTGCACTATTTGGTGAATATGTTCATTGGGTTGATGTAACCGGTACACCAAGTACGTATGAATTTAACCTAATGCTCTGTTTTCAAACTCGGACCGGACCGGCCGGTCGAACCGGGAACCGGCCAGGTAGCCGGTCCGAGTCAACTTAGAAAACCGGAAATTTTAAAACTCGGTCAAAGCCGGTCAAAATTCGGGTTTGACCGGGTTTGACCGGAAAAAAACCGGTTTTCCGATTCAACAGTAATTTTTAAAAAAAAAATTCAAACTTTATAATATTATGTTTTGGCCCCCTAAATTGTTAAAACTTATTCGTATACCTCAAATATTTGATACTTTATAAATATTGTCCTACAATTTGATGTTATTTTTCAATTAAATTCATAATTTTAATTCTAAACTTGTTAATATTTATTAAATAATATAAATTGCTACTTGATTATTCTAATTTCTTTGTATTTTCTTGTTAAATATATTTGAAACATCAAATATATATGAATATATCTTTATTAATATCAATATATTATTAGATATGATATATATAATATTTTAATTTTTAAATAATTTTTATTTATGACGTCATCCGGTTCGACCCCTATCGACCCCCGGTCGAACCCATTGACCCCTGACCTTGGCCGAATCGCTATCCGGTCCGGTTCTGAAAACATAGACCTAATGCACAAGAAAGATACGCATAATATTGCAAGATTTGATAGTGTAATAGGGATACAACACATGAAAGTGCAATAAAAGATCCGGAGCCCTTAAAACTTTGGACTAGACCAGCGAGATGAGCAAATGGCAAAATAACCCTACTTTTGTGATATGGACTGAAACGTCCTCTCATACCGTGCCCATTTCTACGTCCAATTGTAGACCTAATGCGCGCCTCACAAATCATGGACTTCCCTTAAATACTAAGCCGGTTTCCCTTTTAAAAAAAAAAAAATAGAAGGTATGCCATCAGATAATGCACTATGTTTGGGCTTCTATATATGGGCTTTGCATATTGGGCCTCATCAACCCAAGATTAAAATCACCCTTGACCCAGTGGATGAGCAGTTACCGTTGACCCATCATCCCAAGGTACGTAATTTGAGTTTAATTAGTAGTGATATTAGTCAAATTAATCAAGAGATCTCAAATCCCCTATTTTCGACTTTTATAATCTTATTTTGCACAAAAAAAAGTGCTAGTAATTTGATTGAGTTTATTAAATTGTATCTAAATTTAAGGCCAAATATATAAGAAGGTGATCATTTCTAAACAACTTTTATACAAAAGTTTCTTATTTAGTTAAATAAGAAGTTTAAGGAATATAAAAATCTTAAACATAATATTTTTTTTTTATAATATGTATATAGAGAAAAAATAATTTTCACTGCTCCTATTTACATGTTTTCTATTCTTTTGTCATATATATATTTTTTTGTTACACTCATTGAAATATTACCTTGTCACCGATTTTGCCTGTTTTTTGTTTTCAACTAAATGGATAATTATACATCAAAATTTTGTAATTACGGCACATTAAAAAAAGGGCTTTGAATTATTTATATTAAGATTTGTTTTAGTAGTAGTTAATAAAGGTCAAGAATGCACTACTGATGGCAAACATAAACCAGTGCCTCTTATAACACCACCGCCCCCAGCAATTCTACATTCCATCTACGTATACTATTCCGTACGTATACGCGTATAATTCACTGTGTACGTGCAGCTCAAGTTACTTTTAGCCTCAGAGCTCTTTCTTCTCCCAAATTAACAAGATTGATTATTTTCCAGTATTATTGATTCCGATGAGCTGCAACTTTTTCCCCTTTGCAATTCATCGGGAACGGCGTCGTTTGTGAATCTAGGGGTTCAGTGTGGAGCAAATTCTAGATAAATATTCAGTTGGCTGATGAATTCTCAGCTGATGCCGATGACCAGAAGAACCAATACTAGCTGTGCTATTTGCGACAGCTCCAATCTTGCCTCAATCTGCCCTGTCTGCGTCAATTACAGGTATTTCAATTCAGAGACTAATATGTTCCCAAATGTTTCTTTCTTTCTTTCTTTTTTTTTTGGAATTTTAATTAGACTTCATGGCTTGTTATCTGTTTTTGCATGTGCAGATTGAATGAGTACAGTACTAATTTAAAGTCTCTGAAGAGCAAGAAGGATGCCTTATATTCAAAATTAAGCGAAGCCCTTCTTGCAAAGGTTTGAGTGCCTGCAGCATTCTTTTGGTCTTTGCTAGCTTGTGTTTTACTTGGCTTGCACTTGGTTATTTTTGTAAGTTATATGCTAACATAAATATGGGAGCTTTTTGATTCTCAACTTAGCTGACAATGTTGGTGGAATCGCGCTTGTTTATATGGTTACGTGTGATGTTGAAAACTTAGGATATATGTAGCTCTATCTATTGGCAAAGAAGTATTAAGAATGTTATTTTGTTAGGGAGCATGGTTTTCAAACCTTTAGCTGTGGGAACAGAGAGAGAGAGGGAGAAGGAATTGGGTTATTTACAATAGTGAAAGAGCGTAGAGAAAGAGAGGCAGAGAATGAGAACAGCTGTTACTTGTGCTCATAAGATGTTATGGACTAAGAAAATGGCATAGAACATGATGCGCTGACTGAGCAGTGGTGGGATTGGGAATACTCGAATGTCACCTAAAATTTGTCCTACCCAAAAAAGAAAAAACTAAAATTGTGAATTTCAATTCTCGATTTTGCCTTGGCAGATGTAAAATACGAACTTTCTGATGGATGACCTGACCTATTCATACCATCACTCATTTTTGAATGATTTTCATATATCTTCCTGCACTCTACAGCGAAAGGCAGATGATCAGAAAAGTTGGTTGCTGCTTCAAAAAGAGAAACTTATAAAAATGAAGGAGAAGCTCCATCTTCGACAACAAGAAGTTTTGCAAGGTTGAAAACTTATTGAGTTACTTTTTACATGCAAAACGAGGCTAATTAGTATCTTTTTTTTTTTTTTGGCCCCAGCTGCTAGACTAATAGATGTTTGTGCAGGAAAGTCAATGATCGAGGCGATGTCTCATGATTTAGATGCCAAGTATGAATTGCTTGAGTCGGCCATGAGTGTGGTATCATATTTTAGCTCTGGAATTTGTTTTTTCAGTCAGATGCATATACATTATGGAAAGTGATAATTGAGATTCTGGGATCTGCATAATTTAATTTCTATTGATGATTATCTCATTGCAGCTGCAAAAGAATCAAGTGGAACAACTAGAAAAGTTCTATCCTAATCTTATTTGCACACAGAGTCTTGGACATGTAAGATGTTTCTCTACCCTATACATTCAGGCTTTCAACTTGAGTTGGAGACATGATTCTACATATTGTTTATCGTTATCTTGAGAACTTTTGGTGAACTTCATTTAATACTACAGCATATGTCAATTGCAGATGGCAATTACCTCTGAACTCCTACACAGACAGTCTGTCATTGTGAAACAGATATGCAAGTTATTCCCATTACGTCGGGTCAGATTCAGATGTTATTTTAGTGTTATTTGTCTTTTTTTTTCCTTGTTGCCATGCTCTGACCAGGGGAGATTCAATAAGACTAAATTTTCTTGTTGCTGTGCAGCTGAATGTTGATGGTGATAGAAAAGATGGTTTCACTGGTCAATATGACACCATTTGTAATGCACGCTTACCGAGAGGACTTGATCCACATTCTGTTCCACGTGATGAGCTTGCCGCCTCTTTGGGGTAATTGTTATACTGTATACATCTATACTTGCTACTTTGGATGATGCGAGTTTAATGTATATATCATATAATTTATCCCGTGGCAGTCATTCAAAATACATTATTTCCTTTTTCTTCATGAGTAGATGGTGAAATCTCTCCTCCTTTCAGTCTGTATGAACATAATGTTGGTAGAAGAATTAGTTGCTGCTGAAACAAGGGTTCTTTGGTTAAAGTGAACATGAACAAAGTGTTAGGTAATCTTGAAAAAGAAAATAATAATTAGGAAGGAAGTCTTGAGTCAGTTGTTACTGAATTTTAGTCATTTTTCTCTTCTTTAAGTTTCATCTGATGCAATGTTATGTAATTTTGACCACTTGATCACATATTTGAAGTGAGAATATCTGCCATATTTTTAATAGTTTTAGCTTGTCCAAGTCGATCATTTTTATTCCAGTCCTGCACTGAAGAATGTAAGGGACACTTTCAGGACATATATACATGTATGTATATTATCCAATCATGTTTATCTTCTCTCAGTTATCATTATTCTAAAAATCTGAGAAACAAAAGATTTTCTGTTTTGCATATTATATATTACCTCTCTCTATTGGATAGTAATCAACTGTTGAAATCAGATACATGGTGCAGCTTCTGAATCTTGTCGTTCATCATGTCTGTGCCCCTGCACTTCATAACTCAGGATTTGCGGTATGCTCATTAGTCATCTCTTTTTAATAATTTAATACTTGTGGCTGCATTTATATGTTTACTAAGTATAATTTTATACCATGTATATACCAGTAACTTGCAAGGATTTTTTAGAGGAGAGGTATCTTTGGTGTTTGGATTTAGTAGCTATATTATCTGATTTTAGATCAACCTTGCAGCTCATAGTGAATTTACTATATAAACTTAGATAAAGCGGTAAAGTTTTGTTATACACTCTTCACATCCATATTTGTCAAGTCTCATGCATCTACAGGAAAAGATAGAACTGGTGAAAATCATTTATAGAGATTATAGCATGCAAAAGTCTAGTTTTCTGTGTATGTTTTGTACACATGCTTTTCTGCTGGAGTGGATTTTTTATTGATATGCTTTTGAAAGGTCAAAATATCAGATATCATGCATGTACAGAGAAAGACAGAAATGTGGAATCTTGTTTTCAGCAATTGCATGCAAAAGTCCTTGTGCATGCTCTAAACATGTTGGAATTCAATGTTCCTTCAGCTATGGTATTTAAGAAAATAAATTATCATTTCTCTTACTTACATACGTCATAGTTGGCCTTGATAACTGAATCTCAGTTGGTTATTAATGAACAAGTTCACCTATTGCTTTTGTCCCCTCTGTTAGAAGAAGATCAGTGTTCTTGTTGAAGGTACTTTTTGACTCCTAGACAATCAGAAATCGCTATAGTTGTGTTGTATAGGTGGACTTTTCCTCATGATATCTACTTTGTTAGTTACATAGGAAGAGAATTGTTGTGATGATGGTTTTTAAAGCCTAAACAGTTTAAAAGCTTATTAATGTTGTGATTCCATGTCCGTGTTCCTATTCACATGTTTCTGTGTTGTGTTTGTGAAACTGCAGTAAGATGGGGAGTTTGCTCGTCACTGTAGGAGTTAATATTCTCTTCATCTTTTGCTATTTTCTATTATCAGGGTTCATGCTCTAGGATATGGCAACGAGATTCTTATTGGGACGCTCGTCCATCTTCAAGAAGGTATTCTGGTGGCCTCAGATTACTGGCCCCTTTTAGACTGTGAATTACTTAGTCTTGCTACTAATTAGTTGTTGTTGTTTATGCAATGCAGCAGCGAATATCCTCTTTTCATTCCTCGCCAAAATTTTTGCTCCACTAGTGGGGAAACCTCATGGTCTGATAGAAGCTCAAGTAACTTTGGTGTTGCTTCGATGGAATCAGATAGGAAACCTCATTTGGATTCTTCTCGTAGTAGCAGTCTCAACTACTCGTCTGCCTCTCCTCATTCTATTGAAACACACAATGATTTGCAGAAAGGAATATCCCTTCTCAAGAAAAGCGTGGCATGTGCAACTGCATACTGCTATAATTCATTGTGTTTGGAAGTTCCTGCCGAGGCTTCTACGTTTGAAGCATTTTCGAGGTTGTTGTCCATCCTTTCTTCTTCCAAGCAAGTGCGGTCTTTTGTTTCCTCGAAAATGGCTTCTTCAAGGTACCTTATTCTTTTCTTCCATTGGCCATACTTTGAATAACTTGCACCATTCTTGGCGCAACAATTTTATGTTCTATTTGAGTTGAAAGTTCTAAAATGGCAAACTCTGCTTGATTTCAGTCCATCTTAAATCTATACCAACCTCAGCTGCAGTAGCTGAAGTTGACTTATATGCTTTACAACTTGGATTAAATGACCTGTGGGCTATTTAGTTCATCCCTCTAAGGTTGAGAAATGCCCTGGAAATACAAAAACCAATTAAGATGTCTTTACCAGGTTTACTTGATTGTGTGAAGAATTGATACATGAGGTAAATTACTTAATGTTGCTAGCAATGCCTCGAGGTTTTTTGCTCACCAGAAATTTATCCTATATGTTAACAGACTAGACTTTGCTTTGTCCTTTTGGACTATCTATGTTGACGTGGTTTTTAGGTCATCCAAGCAAGCCCAGCAGTTGAACAAGTCTGTATGGAAGGTAGATTCAGCTATTTCATCAAGCACTTTGGTGGAAAGTGCACATGCCTTCCCTATGAAGGTAATTACTTTATAATGAATTTATACATATTCTGTCTGGCTCCATTGTTGCAGCATCAGTATCTTCTTGTTTCTTAGTACTATCAGTATTTGCGGGCACTGTATCAACATTTTCTTGAATTCATTGGAAGATCAAATTTATTTTTTGATTCATGCAGAAAGGCAATGATGGTTTCGGATATAACTTTTCGTCTGACTTTAGTTTGGTTCCTTCAGTCACAGTACCATGATGAAAATATGATGAAATCATATTCTGATCATGAGGTGGTAACAAATAAGAGCAATGGGATGTGATTTGACACTCAGATTAGAATTAGATAATGTAAGATTGGCTCTGTCGCTCTTGATTATCAAGAAAGTAGGAGTAGGATGTACAGATCAAGTGTCTATGATACCTGTGGGCTGCTTTCAGCTGGGAAACAATTTTTTTTTGGGTTTATCTTAGAATAGTTAATAAACAGACAAATAGCAGACACCTTTATGATGAGTTCGTCCTGTAACCTGAATTTCTCTATCTTTTCACCATGCAGAGAAATGTTTTTGACAGCCATGTTCCGAGTTCTGCTTCCAGTTTCCTATTCCCCACTGAATTTTCTGATATTGGAAAGAATGAAAACTTCATTGAAGGATGGGATCTTGTTGAGCATCCAACTTATCCTCCTCCACCTTCACAAACTGAAGATGTAGAGCACTGGACACGAGCGATGTTTATTGATGCCACAAAGAAATGATTAGTTGTTCAAGAGGATAGTGGAATACTACAATTATAAGCTTTCTCGCCCCTCATAAGCTCTAAAGAAGGCAAGAAGAGGTCAATTCTAGATCATCACATTCTCTTTTATATTTATGAACGACTTGGAACACTGCTGGTCAATATACTTGGTTCCTGGGAGTAAATTTCAAACAGTACAAGAGAACTTAACAGTACTTTGCTTATGCCAAGCAACCTGAAGTCTGAACTAGTGCAGAAAATTGTTTGACAGTGTTCGTCTTGAACTCAATGCTAGCAATGTTCTAACATAATTGATAATTTGGTTATACTGAAATTGCTGTCTTAAATACCAATAGACTGTCTTTGATTATTACTCCTCCAATCTTTTATACAAATTAACCGCTGCAAGTTTTTCTTCTAGTGAAATGGGCAGATAGAACGTATTACTCATTTCTGTATTTGCCCCAAATGCTGTTTCTCTTCTTGTTGGTTGGTCTTCTGGTGCATTATATTGTCATTAAAGGTCAAAAAGATCAAGTTCCTTTGCTTTGTTTTATTACTCAAACTTCTGACGTCTGTACTCCAACGTGTTTTGCGTTTGTTTTTTCCTCAGAACTATTTGTCAATTCATTTTGTGCTGATTTCGTGTGTAGGTTCAGCGTTGCAGGGCACTTGACGGCAAAACTAGAATAACTCCTCAAGTGTCTGCCTGGCATATGTAAATAGACTCTCTCTGTATATGGAACTCTATACATGGTAATTTCTGCTTGCCCGTAGCATTAAAGCTATGTATATTGACGGTTCCCAATTGTTTTAAGTCGTAAAATGTAGGAAAAGGTAGTTATAGTTACTGTCTTGCTATGTTACTACTACTATATGGTATACTCATGCGAGAACCCTTCCAACATTAGGGAGCAATGACGACCTGATTTTAGTGATGTACGGCGCCCTTGGCAAAATCTGTAGCAGTGTCTTGTCGAATTTTCCCCCTTAGCCCATGTTCTTGGTAAGGTTTTTAGTATTGAAAGCAGTTAAAAAATTAAAACAGTGGTATGTTACGTCCTGACATCCTGGAAAACAATCATGTTCTTGTCCTTGCACGGCGAAAGTAATCATGCTAAACCTGGAAACTCAATAAACGGCAGGAGAGTTAAGACGAACAAGGAGAGACATCATAGCAGATTGGTATGCAGGATGAATCAATGGCTAATGACTGAAATTCAGTGAGAATGAAGGTGAACGACGGAGAAAATCATGTTTTTAATCAAGTAACCAAAAATCAGTTGTCTGCTCAATTGGCCAATCTATAAAGTTGGGAAGTTGTCTAAAACATTCGAATGAAAGACGTTCATAATTATACTCATCAGCTACAGTACGATCAGAAGGTCAGAGACCTAGTTTTTCATCAGGTTAAAAGAGAAGGGGGGCTGCTCCAAACGGGGAGGGGGAGTTGTAACATTTTCATTTTCGAGCCATCTACTTCTTCCTCTTCTTTGGAGGCTGGAGGGCCTCCTCCTCTTCCTCATCTTCTGGCTCCTCTTCGTCTTCTGCGTCCTCTTCTGCCACTTCTTCCTCATCTCCTTCATCCTCACGATCATCATCCTCCTCCTCCTCCTCGTCGTCATCATCATCATCATCCTGGTTTTCGTCATCGTCGTCGTCATCACGGTCATTGTGTCCGTCACCATCTTCTCCATCTTCTTCCTCCCCATTCTCGTCTCCCGCACCACCAGCTCCTGCAGGGCCCTTCTTGGCGTTGCCATTGCTGCTGTTGGGATTGCTTCCAGGACCGCCTCCATCTTCAGGGGCTACCTCTTCTTCACCATCCGGGAAGTCACCTTCCCCATTATCACTGCCACCGTCGTTTTGCTCGTCTCCATCCCCTTGCTCTGCACCCACCACTTTCAACTGGTCATCAGAGTTTCCTTTACCCTTCACTTCAGTTGCCGCCAACCACCCAAAAAGATCCTGTAATTTGCTTGCCGTTCACGACAAAGTGTACCATTAGCAAGTGTACAACAACAACAACAACAAGTGAAGTGAGAGGTGAAGAAGAACTTGTTCAATAATTTCCTTTACCCATGCAACTTAATGATTAACTCTGCACTTAAGTTAACACTCATACTAAAGCATACTAGTTGCCAATGTAATAAAGCCACAGATCCTTATTCCCCTGTGTACGAAAAGTAAAATGCTTGGAAAAAAAAAGGTGTTAAAAAAAAATTCTCATAATTTCAAAAGAATATTCGAATATATGCTCAACGCCCGGAATAAAATATGAACTCAAAAGCACGGTAGTTTGAAATGATTTGCTTTTGAGGTTTCACCATTTCTGTTTTAAAATTCAGTCCAGAATTAAGGAATAGCAGAATAATAATGGCGCATGGGATTGGTGGCAGACTATTGTAGTATTCAGATCGGGACCCATCAACAACTAACCCGGAACTCTAAAAGGCGTATAAAAGCCAAATTCATGTTCCCTTTGACGTCCGGTATGAGGAAAATAGTGCAATTAGCATAGTACTAAAGGACAAAATAAGCAATACTAGCATTATTCACTAAACTTGAAAAAAAAAAAAAAAGTAAATCTTATATACGGTTAAGGCATATATTATCTTTACCTTTACTAGATCCATGATAAATATGTAAAAATTAAATTTTAGATTCAAATTTTTCATAATTTTTATTACACTCTTCGTGACGAGTGTATAAAAAATTAATTCAAGAAAAAAAATACTAGATAAAGATTAAAATCTTAACAACCTTGAAAGACACTTTAAAATAAATGAAAGTTAAAAAAAAAAAAAAGAGAGAGAGAGAGAGGAAGAAAATCCCGTCCAATCATGACAAAGTGAAAAATTGAATTGATAATGGACCGACTTTGTAAAAAAAAAAATTGAAATTAAAAAGTGACAGAATTAATTAATGAAAAAGGGAAAGAAATGGAAAGAGGGGAGTGATGAAATCTTACTCGAGCCAAGGAAAGCAGTTGAACGTTGACCAAAGAAGCAGGAGGAGTAGCCGTAGTGAAAATCGAGGACAGAGCACCCTCGGCGCACGTTAGCAAGGGCTTCTTAACAATCACCTCCATCTGTACGGCTAGCAACCTGACATCAGAAAACATCAAACCTCGTATCACCGTTAGATCTCTCCTCCGAGTCCCTCGGACAAAACAAACCGTTTTTCCTAGTATCTTCCGACAATTTCTAACCACAAACCAACCAAAAAAAAAAAAAAACCGTCACGTTAAGATTTTTCCCCACAAAAAAGGGGAAAAAAAAAAAGAAAAGAAAAGAAAGAGCCAAAAGTAGTAGATTTTTTTCTCTTAGTACCACTACTAATTACTGAAACAGGACAAGATTTCATTTCTCGTTACTGCTAGCTAGCAGTAAGAAACTTTTAAAAAAAAAAAAAAAATCTTTTTCAGGTAGCATAAAATTGAATAGTTTCACGTAGACAAAAATATTGAGCATGAGACAAGAATTTATGAATAGGAAAGACAGCAACTTCATAAGTAGGGAAGACATATTTACAAAATTCATATATATGCGTTCAGATAATGATGGAGACGGACTAATGGAGATCTAAAAGAGAAGATTACACTGAATAATGGCGAAAGGTGCAGTACGAAGAAGAACAATGTACAGCAGTAAACTAACGACAACCAAATCTAGTTTCTTCTTGGGATTGTTTTACCCTGCAAAGGGTAGTTTTTTAACTGGAAAGAAACGAAAGGAAAAATGAGAGCTAGGAGTTTTTTTGCCCGAGAATAATAAGCTGCAGGCAGAAAACTTGTTCATGAAAAAGAGAATTTTGGCTGGGAAAAAGCTTTGAAAGAAAGGAGGAGGGAGCTGGGGGAGAAAGAAAAAGAAGCTGAGTACATACCTGCAAAATCTAGGGAGAAAATTGATTTTCTCTTCAGGGGAAGATCTAAGCCTAGCTAGCTGAAGCTGCAGAAAAGGGTTGTGTTGTTGTGGAGTAATTGCAAATTTGCAATGCAAGACAGGGTTGAGTGAGTGTGAAGACTTTGTTTGGGTTTTGACCGTCGGATGAAATGATCTTTAATCAGAGGGTTTGAAGAGAAAGACTTGGGACTCGGGAGGGCCGACCCAAGAGTCATTAGATACAAGAAAGAGAGAAACTAAGTAGGGGCAGCAGTGAATGACTAAGGAGCAGGGAAGTGAGGTCATGGGTGGGGCAGAATGGGCAGGCCGACTCCCTCCCTCCCTCCCTCACTGGGACGTCAAGAACGGAGAGATAACGGTGACCCTGACCGTGACCGTGACCGCGGTATTAGGACATGAGATGAGAGCAGATTGATCATTGATGAACTTTATGATGGATGGGATGATTGTAGCAAGCACTTTGCTACGTTCAGGCAGTCAATAGAAGAGAGAGAGTTTTGACAAAAAATAAAAATAAAAATAAAAATAGAAGAGAGAGAGAGAGAGAGAGAAAGAGATGTGTTGTTGTTAGGAGAGTGGTTGAGAGTTGAGAGACTTTTGGAATCGAAGAAAGGAAGGAGAATAGAATCTAATACTCGCTGCTCCCACCTCCCCCCCCCCCCCCCCCCCGCCCCACTTTTTTTTTTTTGATCCAATAAACATGGCTCCATCATCCATTCAATTTTTTCCTCTCTTGTTTCCCTTTTTGTTCTGGTTGTTACACTTACACGTACGTAACATTTTTGTAGCATGACCCATGTATGTAATTTTATAAAGATATATGAATCTTTTTTTTTTTTCATAAAATTTTTACGCTGAACAAATCCTCCTTTAAGTTGGTCGAACTAGTGTCATGGATGGATCATTTGAGGTGATTAATAGTTCGTAGTCTACTAGGTTATGATATAATTGTGAGAAAAAAAAAAAAAAAAAGAGGGGGAAACTGCAAATTAGATGAAAAGTGTTGTCGATCTTTTTCTTGGTTATTGACAATCAGTCGTGTGTCTAGAAACAGTTGGTCAATGTTCGAGTTTCTTCTTTTAAATATCTTTAGGTTGGGTGATGGATCCACAGAGTTGCAAGCAAGTCGTTTTCTAAAAAATATCGAAATCCTTAACTGTAATTTGGCTACTTGTGCTGAGATAATTACCCATGTTGGCACATTCATTCTCTCTCGCCTGCCCTGACTTGCATCGTTGCAACTTAATTAACTCCAAATCTTCGAAAAATGGAACTAGACTTTGGAAGTGAGAATGGTATACCGTCTCATTTAGCAGTGGAGTGAGATGTAAATCATAACATTCTCTCAAACAATGTAGTCATATTCTCAAATAATTTTGTTCATTTAAAGCAGGCAACGGCTTTTGTGAAGGGTTGGGGAGTAGGTAATTAAGATGATCATGAATTTTGTGAAGAAGGGCATTTGTTCCATAGCCACAATATCTGCAAAACATGATTCCTTTTTTGGTCCTACCACCCTCAGGAATCAGGATGAGATAGTTAGTGCCTCTTCCACACCATGCCACAGCTTCATTTGGAAGATGTTGGAGTTTAAAGTACACCGCTAGGGTCGATGAAGGTTAAACTTTTTCACTAGAAGCATGCACTTGACAAATGAAGCATAATTAATGACAAGGTTCTCCATTACCAACACCGCTGTCATATATATTTTACGCACAATTTTTTTCATTTCCAACAAGAACTACGCAATCTCATATCATTTTATTAAGAAAAATATTTTATGCACTGATTGTGTAGTGATTTTTTTTTTTTTATACTAGTAACTATGGATGTATGGAATATGCGCATGATTTGAATTTCAAATTTAAATTCATATTAGGTGGCATGATCTAAACCTGCTAACGTAAGTAAGAAGATTCGAACTCGAGACCTCTTGTTTATACTCCCTTCCCTCGTACCACCCAACCCATCCCTCTCCTCGGACGTACAACCTATAGAACAGATCCTGTTCAATTCCTGTACAACCTATATGTACACACTAACAATATATAAA